CATTGTAATGCTGCCATTATTGTAGTTTCCTAAAGGTAGAGATATACCTATTGTGTCTATGGTTCATGACATTCGTCCACATTACTATGATGATATGTGAGTCCATCCTCTTATAGTCAAATGAATGCATCCAACCACCTGTTGATTTTTAAAAAAAGAAGTATTATTCTAAACAAGGACTTAAGTTTTGCAACGTATCAACTTGTATTAGCCGATACATATTGTATTTGTGACCCACCGATATTCTACTTTTGGATCGTTTCGGGGTTTAACCTATTTCAAGGGGTAGGTAGGCCTTAAACCGACCCCCTTGAACAAGTTTGAAAAAGAAAAGACTAAAAAATATGAAGCACCCAACGATACAGATTGATACATAAACCTCAACCAACATATTAACCAATGTCGATATTTAAAACCTTAACTAAATCCTAAAGCTTAACCATCATCATCATCCAATCCTTATCCCAATTATATGGGGTCAATTAAATTTATCTTGTTTTTCCAGTCTGTTTTGTTTAATAAACTCTAAAGGCTAAACCTTAACCCTAAACCTTGAACCTCTAAACCCCTAAACCTAAAATTCTAAATAATTCCTAATCCTAAACTCTAAAATTAAGTGCTTTATTGGATGCATTCCTTTGGATAAATAGGATCTGAAGTTCTTTTGATTGTTTGAACTTTCTAACTTAAGGGCATGTTCATTTCCTCTTAACTCTTATCTCTTAAGAGGAATCTTTTAACTTTAAGAGAAAAATGATTGTTCATTTCCTCTTATCTCTTATCTCTTGAAGTGCATTATACAACTTTTTGTTTTCTAATTATACCCTCAAAAAGACAAACAAAAACTCTAATATATGGGGTCAAAATAGATATTTGATAATTTTCAGAATTCAAAATTCAGACTTCAGAACAACATTCTTTGCATTCAGAGTTCAGAGGAAAGAAAAATTCACCAATACCAATATACCTCTTAATGTAATTATTGCACTTTCAGATGTTAGACTTCAGAGCAAATGAACAGGCCCTAAATCTATCAAACTATATATATTTTATGCACATTAACATTGTGATGATTTGTAGGATGTTTTATAATTATTGTTTTCTTAGAAAATGACACACCTTGGAATTTGGTAAAGTAATGCTGGATTATGTGCAAATTTTATATTGTTATTATGGTGCTTGTTAGGTGCCATATAGGAAAAAAAAGTAAAAACATTGTTTTCATTGCAAGAAATGTCAAACTGACATTTTCTCCAAAGTTGCTCTAAAAGAATTTGAGGCATTCAATGTTTCTTGAAACAACTTAAAAGACACTCAACCAAACAAGAAAAATTGAGAGATAACATAATGCCCACAAGGTACTAACATGGCAAAAAATGCCTAGATGGAACTCACATGGAAAAAGGCATCGGAGAAACGACTTTAGTACAAAACACCTTCTTGATGTTTTACATGGATAGAATAACACCATGGTTCCAAACATTGCATGGGTGCTTTATGCACATTCTCAGTAGAGTTCAAGTAGAGGTATATTCTGAATTGTTGTTGAAAGTTGAGGTTAATGTCAAGATGGTCGGGATGACAACGAATAGGGTACCCATGAAAATTACCCTTTTCATTCTGAAACCTGCCTAAGTACCTTTATCCCAAACTTGTTTATTTTTTCTCAATTTTCTAGATCAGTCCTATCATAAATCCATCATCCTATAAATGAAATGTGATGTCCCTCCTAAGGAAAAATGGTGTGGTAGGATTGTGGTGAGGACACACTAGCGTAAGAGCACATGCTATGTACGTGTTCAAGTAATGTGATATGGTATTTGGATTTAACTTTTATGATCTACATGAAATCCAATGAGAGTATCTTATACAATATAGATATATTATTTCTTATAAAACATTTAAGATATATTTAATTAGGGTTTGACTGTGATACCAAGAGAACTTATAACCAACTAACTGGTTGTAAGGTGGTGGTGATGACGGTCTAGGCTCTAGAATTAAAAAGAAGGAGAGTAGTGCAAAAAGGGATTAGGTTTTAGAACTCAACAAGGCTAAGAAAAGGAATGAATGAATGGAACTATTCCCTTCTTCAAAGAAGGGGACTCTATTTATAGATGGGAGAGGGTGTTTATACATGTATGGAATAAAGGATTCCATAACTTTTCTACTATATGAGCTCAAATCCCTAAGCCGATCCAATGGGAACACATCGGTTGTCAATAATGTTGCCCTTTCATGATCTTACCATGTGTTGCTTGTGGGAAGCTTTTGTAGAACAACATACTGTATGACAACCTTACTTTCCATCCACAGGTTTGCACGGCCTCTTCCATGGGGATCACAACTGTCTGCCAACCACAATAGTGACCAATCATGGTTAGTGACCCGACCATCATTGTAATGTCATGATAGGTAACAACAATTCTTCTAAAGGTGGAAGTGTATATATATGTCCGTAGTTCAGAATATTCTTCTACATTACTTTGTCAACATGCAATTCCATCATCTTAAAATGGTATCATAAAAGCAGTTGCATCATGGACTTTCCTATACGCAAAGTTTATAATCAAGTAATGAAATTGGATATTTTTATTAAATATAGTCAGGTACTATAAAGACAAAACCCAAAGTCATCCTGAACCTTTAGGGTTTTAATCTAAAATCCCAAACCTGTCTCAAACCATATAGGGTTTTGGATAAATAGGTCCTATTTAGAGGTGGAAATGAACCGAGCTTTGAGCCCAATATATGAGCTCATTTTCTAATCGAGTTGAGCTTGAGCCTAATATAGCTCGACTCATAAGGCTCTTGAGCCTAATTGAGCCTCTATATATAAAATAAGAATATTATACATATAAAAAATAATATATACATACATATATATATACACATAATATTTTTAGTTTTTATATATATAATAATAGCTAGTTTTTATAATTCTTAAATTTTTATATATAAAATAAAAAATAATTTTTTATATTTATAATTTTCTAATTTTATAGGAAACTTGATTCATAGTTCACACTTCACAATCAAGTTCAAATTGAGTGAAACTCGAGCTAATGAGCTATTGGGTCAAGCTAAACTCGAGCTCCACCCTCTAGCTTGAACCAAGCTCCAGCTCGAGCCTCATAGCATTATGGTGAACTGAACTCAAATAACCAAATATTCGACTTGACTCACCTCGAATCCACCCCTAGTCCTATTATAAGTTGGAATAGGTCGGGTACCCACAAAATTACATCACTAGTATGGGCCAAACCAATGACTGAGTTATGAACTCTTTAAACCTAGGGGTCTAAATGGATCAAATTCGAAGTGGATCATCCAATATTCAAATTCGATTTCGATTAGACTTTAGAGGTATGATGATTCGAATTCAATTTGAAATTCGACGGATATTTAAAAATAAAATTTGAATTTGAATTCGATTAAAAAATCGAATATTCGGTTTTATTTGAATTCGATTGATAGAATGCATTCTGAACTCGAAAACAAAAAAAATAAAATAAAAACAAAAATTACGGAGTAGAGTGAGTAATCGAAAACGTTATTGCTCTATGCAAAGATTTGTTAAAAAATTACCTGTAAAAAAGGCAACATGTTAAAAAACTAAAGCAAAGCCCAAAAAACAATCCCGTAGATTTTTGAAACTATTATACAAATACCAAATCTTTAAACATCATAGTTCATAAAACCCTCTACCCTCTTCTTCCGACCATGTATCGTTTTTGGGAAACCTTTGCTCTGAACTGAAAATCTAATGATTTTAGAGTCATGGGCTCATAGTTGCACTTATCTCCTTTCGCCTACCAAAAAAATCCAGATGAAATGTAGATTTGCATTGTAAAATAAAGAAAAAAAAACCCAAAGCTTACATACCAGATCATCAGCATATTTCTATCTTCATGGTTGAGATATAAGATATGGAACTTAGCTGGAACTTGGTTGGAACTACAACAGAAGAAGATGAAGATTTCGAAAATAGGGGTAGGGAGAGAAGTGGCAACTCACTAAGCTCTGAGTTGAAAAAGAAGCTTTTTTTATGAAAAAAGTAAAAGAAAAGTAATCATTACTTCTAATATATTTTTCATTGCTTTATTTTATAATCTAATAATATTAAAAAATGTTCTTATAAAATATCATCATTACTTTCTTTTATGTCATTGTCATATATCATCATGTTTTTAATATATATATATATATATATATATATATATATATATAAGGTATAAATAAGGTATTAGATTCGATTCGACCATTTATTATAATCGAATTATTATAATAAATTTTTTCAATTCAATAATTTAAATGGTATAAATAAGGTATTCAAATTCGACCATTTATTATAATCGAATTATTCGAATTTGATTCGATTGAGTCAAATGTTGAATTCGAAATCGCACTTTCGAATACCATTGACCCCCTTATTTGAACTGACTAGGAACTGTGCTAGTGGGGATGGCAATTTCCCCCGTAAAATTGGGGCCCCGCCCCGCCCTGAACGGGAAGGGTTTTACTCGACCCTAAACAAGGACGAGGCTGGGACGGGGAAAATTATTTTCCCCGAACCGAGTACGGGGCGGGGACGAGTTTTGTATATAATTCCCTAAACCCACCCTGAACCTGAAGGTAAATTAGTAAAATATCTCTAGGTTTAATATTGATATTTAAAATATCTCTGACCTTTCCCTGAATTTTTAAAATCCTAAGATCCCATAATTTTATTTTTGAATTACCCTAAAGTATTATAATTCAATTCTAAAAGTGGGGAAAATTCGGGGATTCCCCCGTCACCGATAAGAAATGGATGCCCCGCCCCGAACCCGCCCCGTTTCCATTACTATGTGCTAGCATGTCGGGTCAAGCATTCCCGCCCATATTCTCAACCGCGGCCCGCGGAATATACCCGACATTGAAGGGAGCTATGGAGATTTTTGTACTTTTGCATATTTTTGCTGGATGGGCCATTTTTGTAATTTGACGATGAAGACTCAAGTCTAAACTCTGAAGTCTCCGCTCCTCTATTGCCAAGCAACGGTAGAGACTAGAGAGTAGAGAACACATCTCCGCGGTCATCCGAGGCGGTGATCATTCAAATCTCGTTCTACCTTGTCTTTGATTTTGCAGGAATGGCCAGAAATCTTGCATTTCTGGTTCTTCTTCTTCTTCCATTGTCTATATCTGAAGCTACGACTTTTCGGCCGATCGCCGATAGCCACCGATCTGCCGCACTAGAGCTGTTTTCATCAGTCGATGGATCTTATGGAAGGTCTCTTTTAAGCCCTAACTAAACCCTAATTCTCATATTTCAATGCTCTCGCTTGTATGTATAACACATATTCATTTTACTTCTCTCTATTATTCAAACTTCGGAGGGAATTAAGCGGCATTTTGATCTCTCTCTCTCTCTCTCTATCGTCAAGTTTTCTACGCGTTTGCTTATCTTTTCCTTGGGAATATCAAATTGTCCTTGAATGTATTGATGTATAAGAATTTCTTAGTATTTTCTACTAAATTTGAGTACAATTGTCGCATCATAACAACTCATTCATCTCATGTCATTTTCTGGAGCTTAAGTTAACGAATATTAGCGACAAGATTTACTATGTGACTGATTTGATTTAATTGGATTTTCAGCTTAGAAGAAACGTATCAAGCGCTAAGAACATTTCAGATTCTTGGCATAGAAGAGAATGTTGATCTAAGTAAATCCACGTGTGCCCTCATTGATGAAAAGCTTAGATCTTCATCTTCGAGTACAAAAGATTTGTTTTACGCTCTAAGGGTTAATAGCATATTGAAATGTGATGTCAATGCTGAAGTTTTTGAGGTATCCTTCTAAACTCTTTGTCTCAACGTGTTGGATATTAAAAGTGACTTGTTTTTTTGTTGATATGTTAATGAGGATTTTTTTTTTTTTGAAATGAATTCTTTTCTCCTGTTTTGAAGGACATTGCTTCAAAGCTTCAAGTTGTTGTTAAGGATGCAAGTTCTTTGCTTGATTTCTACCATTCAATTCGGAGCTTGGTACTTATCAAGGTATTTTTAACTCTGGAGTAATGTAATTCACGTGCCTTGCTTTTGCCCTTCAAACATGAATGTGGTCATGCATAATTCTATTTATTAGCTGTATTCTTCTATGGCCAAGTTTTCATTTTCAGGTTCTTAGGAAAACTTCGATTCTATGATCAGATGCACATTAATATCCTTTTTGTTACTAACATGTTAAGAGAAGGGTGTAATTATTTCAAGCTTGACACTGCTTATAACAATCTTTAGCATAAGGCCATGGGACTTTTGGATAAATTTTACTTTCTTCTGTAAATTGCCATGCAGGGTGAGAATTCTAAAAGCAATGTTCATCTGGCTGATGCAGATGGGATTTTTCATTCCATTAAGGTCATTATAAGCAATTTTCTCTTATTAACCATCTAACTTCCTCTCCTTCCATTTACAACAGTAGAATTAATGCTACCAACAAATAAAATTAATGTTGATATATTGTTGATAGGCTCTCAGCCAGAGCGACGGAAGGTGGCGCTATAGTTCTAGTTCTAACGGTGCTGAACCTAGCACTTATGCTGCTGGTAATGATCTTATTCCTTGAGGATTTTAGCGAACATTGTGACATTCTAATTTAAAATGTTAGGAGAAGGCTAAGTAAGCTTTTGTGCATATTATGTTTATAACAGGGTTAGCACTTGAAACAATTGCTGGAGTTGTTTCGTTGGCATCCTCTGAGTTTGATCAATCTATGGTAAGGTGACCTTCTATGCTACCTCTGACTGTCAAAATCTTTTCAAGTTCAACATCTGGTGGCTGACTCATTTAAGGATAATAAATTACCATTCATGTGCATTGGTATCAAGTTTTAGAATGTCAGTTACACCGACTTTTAGGTAGAGGTAGATTCAGGAGGGGTTGATGCCATCGGTATCGTGGTGGACATTGTGGCATTATAAGATTATATTAGAATGTGAGATGCTGGTAACATGCATAGGTGCAGAAATAGAGGTTAGAACATTTACTGAGGGGTGAAGGGTTGAGGCAAGAGATTGATTATTTACCTTAGATGGGGAAGGTAATATCCATATAACACATTAATTCAACTTGTTGACTTGGCAACTTCAATACTTGGGAAATATTTTAGTTTCCTTTGGTCTTTTGGGTGAATATGATGCTAAGCATATAATTTCATCTCTTCCATCCCCTTAAGGTTATGCTGGCTCCCATTTTCTGTAACTGACATGTCATTTAATTGACAGATAGGTAAAGTGAAGAATGATATTGCCAAGATTTTTGACAATATAGAGAGTTATGGTATGTATCTTCTTCTCCCCTCATTTTAATTATATTTTCACGATATCTTGAACATTTTGCATATGACTGCTTGATGCATATCCATAAACCCAAGCACTTGGGCCCTCTGAACTGAGTATACAGTCTGACTTTTGAAGAAGGGGTAATTGTTGACAACTATGAAAATATTCTTTTAGGTTTTTTATTTTTTCTTTCTGTGACTTATTTTTTATTGATAAGTTACAAGAAAAGAAATATACAAAACCCATTAACTCTACCAAAGAAAAGAAAAGGAAATTAGAAAAATTGAGGGATGAAGAAAGTCGTTAAAGGGCTCCAATGTGTAGACTTACAAAATTACCAAGGGAAGTCCAAGACCAAATTTGGGGTTCCCCTACACATCAAATGGAAGTACAATTCACATATTAGGGCCCAAATATTGTTCATTCTCTCCACATGACCGTCTGCTAGGCTATCTACAAATGAGTTGGTCCGCCTTGGTACCCTTATGAATGAGGGGTCAAATCTAGCACTTGGAGCTCATGCCTTTCTTAATTGATATTCTCCAAAGCCCAATGGTTTTCTCCCCCGTCTGATCTATCACAACATGGGCGTCACCTTCAATAATGTGGTTTAGATAGCCCAATGTCTTCACTGAATCCCTAGTACATATCATTTTTCTTCACACCACCTCTAGCATATTTTTTTTTGATAAATGAATCATCTCTAGCATAATTATCTGCAACTAAAATTGATGTGCTTCATATGTTGCATTAATTTGGTAGCCTGCAGTATCTTGACCCTTAAGTATCGGAGCTTTTCCTTTTTATGTATTTATACACAGCATATATTTAGTAGAATCCTTTGGCTATCTGTAGGTGATGGGGCATTCTATTTTGATGAGAAACTTGAGAACCAGGGCCCTCTTTCAACTACTTCATCAGTAGTGCGTGGAATAACAACATTTGCAGATATTGTGTCTGGGAAGCTAAATGTGAGTCTGAGTATTACTTGATGTCTATATTATTTCATGTAACCACTGTTTTCCTGACGCTTATAGACCTTGAAGATCTGTCTTTGATCTTTGCAGCTTCCAGGAGATAAAATTGTTGGTTTAGGAAAATTCTTCCTTGGCATTGGGATTCCTGGCACAGCCAGGGACTTATTTGACCAGCTAGATTCTTTAGCTTGCTTGGAGAACAATAGGCAAGTAGCATTCCTCTGAAACTGTTAAAATCAATGTTTTTAACCCAAGACTAATTGGATGGTTTAACTATTCAAATTGACTCCTGGAATTTAGACTTCTTTTGCTGGATTCTAGGTTCTTGGTCCAGTTGAGCAAACAAAATCATCCTAAGGTGCCATTCTGTTGGTCTGAAGTCCAAGTCTGAAAAGCAGAAAAAATCTGAAAGAAAGTATTTCGAAAATTTGTGTTTTTCTGTTTTGTTATCTGAAAGCAGAGGATGTTGTTCTAAAATCTGAGTGCTGAATTCTGAAAATGGTTAATTTACCATTTTTGCCCCACATTTGAATCTGAGAATGAATTTTTATGTTATGATAATTAACATTATTAATAATAAAATATAATTAAATAATAGAGAAATAATAAAATGTTCATAAAATATTAGTAAGAGTATTTTGAGTAATGAAATATTAATAGAATAATAATAAAATAACAATAAACTTGTAATAAAATAATAAATATAATTATAAATTAATAATATTAATAAAATAATGAAAAGGCAATAATAAATTATAATAGTAAATATTAATAAAATAAAATTATTAGTTTTTTTGAGGAAAAAACGTAATAATAACATAATTAGTAAAATGTAATAATAAAATAATAGTTAAATTATTCAAAACAGTAAAAATAAAATGATAACAACAATAAAATAGTATAATAATAATAAATATTAATATTTTATTTGATTACCAAAAAAATAAATAGTAATATTTTAATATATTTTGTTGTTTTATTATTATTTTAATATTATTTTTGAATTTTCTATAGATATTTTATTAATGATTTATATTATTGTTATTATTTTATTACTTTATTTATAAAATATTAATATAGTAAGAGTGTGCTACTAATAATGAAGCATGAATAAAATACGTGGAGAGCATTTTATGGTTAAAAAATAAGAATGTAATCAGATCTGATATCTGATTGGTCCTGGCTAGGGTTGTGGAGAGCATTTCAGACTTCAAAACGTGCCAAAAGACCAAAAGAACAACCCCTAGGAAAAGGTTGGTCTTGGCTAGGGTCGTGGAGAGCATTTCAGACTTCAAAACATGCCAAAAGACCCCAAAGTATCAAACTTCAATACAAATACATTGTGATTAGCCCCTATGGAAAATAGGACCGATAAAGAACTCTTTATTAGTTCCATATCTGTCTAAACTGTCTGCCACTTAATTAGCTGATCTCCTGATCCATGTGAATGAGATATTCACCCTGGACATAAGATCCTGATCAATGTAAGTGAGATATTGTTATGGACGTCTTCCTCGGGAAGACGTACCATCGCCGCCGGCAGCAACAGACACCTGACCCACTACCAGCAGCAACAGGCACCTGACCCACCGCCAGCAGCAGTAGTAATTCAGTGATGCTCATCCTACCCAGTTCGGCAACAACAACCTTATCTAGATTAGATTAGCTCATCTTGCTTGTTCTTATCTTATTGTCTTGTTCTTATCTCTTATCTTGTTAGTAGCTTATCAGATTAGGATTAACTTATATCTTATCTCTTATCTTATCTTGTTAGTAGCTTATCAGATTAGGATTAACTTATATCTTATCTCTTATCTTATCTTGTTAGTAGCTTATCAGATTAGGATTAGCTTATCTTATCCTTAGCAAGATAGAACTGGAAGTCTCCCTATTCAGCAAGGAGACCCTTTGATTTAGGACTCTTGTAATCTCCTATTTAAGGAGACCCCATTATTGAATGAGATATTAAATCTTCAATTGAAGAAGTGAGTTAGGAGAGTTGGTGATCTCTTGAACAAATCACCAGAGGCGCCAAGATAGGTTCATCAAGAGCAGGAAGGAACAAGGGAAAACAGGAGGTTTTCCCCGTGGACTGACCCGTGACGAGATCCTATTCCTGGGCCCTCAACAACTTGGTATCAGAGCAAGGCGTCATGGGTGATCTGGAGCAGCTACCATCCAAGGTCCACGACCTCGAGCACCAACTCGTGGAGACCAGCTCCGAAGTCCGTGAGATCAAAGACGAAGTAAGGGAGCTGCGACGCCTGATGGAGCTATTCCTTTCTAGTAGGGAAGGGAACTCTGAAGGAGGGACAGCCGCCAATGGCCACCAACCAGATCTGCCGGAGTCTTCCGGCGAACAGCAGTCCGTTAGCCAAAGAACCACAGTCGTCCCCAAGTACAGTAGGCTGGAATTCCCGTCGTACAACGGCAACGGAGACCCCTTAGGCTGGTTGTATCGTTGCGAGCAATTTTTCTGGAACCAACGGACAGATGACCGCGATAAGGTAAGTCTAGCCGCCTTTCACTTAACAGAGGAAGCACAACTTTGGTTTTATCGGTTAGAGCAAGAAGAACCCGGGCTCAGTTGGCCCCAGTTTAAGCCCTATTGCCTTCTTAGGTTCGGACCCCCATTGACCAGCAACCCACTGGGTGAGCTGATTAACCTTAAACAGACCGGCACAGTGGCTGAATATCAACGATAGTTCCAAACCCTCCTCGCGAGGGCATCCTCCGTGCGACCCGACCAGCAAGTGGATATGTTCACGACAGGGTTATCAGAACCCTTGCGGGTGGATGTTGAGATGCAGAATCCCCCAAATTTGGTCACAACCATGAACTTAGCCCGCGCGTTCAAGCGCAAACTGCAGCTCAGCCGCGGAATTTTTAATGTGGGTCGGCCACCAAATTCATGGGTACCCCCAAGATCAGCAGCAACGACCCCCTCTTCTACTACCAGCCGAGAATTGAAATCTCCCACCACCGCCGCCCCTAGACCAGTGACAAGTATAGGTAGTAACATGGCCGCTCCACCCATTAAGCGTCCGACCAGGGCAGAAATGGCAGAACGCCGAGCAAGAGGCCAATGTTTCAACTGTGATGACCTCTACTCGGCAGGACATAGATGCAAGAGGCTTTTTTGCTCCCTCATCGATGAACAAGAGGAGGAAGAAGAACCAGTCATATTCGAGCCAGAGATCTCTCTCCATGCGATCACCGACATTAAAACCTCCCAGACCATGCAGTTACAGGCACAGATAGCAGGTCAACCGATGCGCATTTCCGTCGATTCAGGGAGTACACACAACTTCATAAGTGAACATGGAGCTTCGACCACGACTACAGGTAGCCGTTGCAAATGGTGAAAGAGTTCACAGTCCAGGAATTTGTAAGGACGTGCCGGTACAGGTCACTTCTGAACTGTTTCTTGCTGATTTATTTGTACTCTCATTGGATGGGTTCGATATTGTTCTCGGGGTCAAGTGGTTAATTAACCTAGGCCCGATTTTGTGGGACTTCAGCGCACTCACCATGACCTTCCACCTAAATGGAAAGCAAGTTTCATGGCACGGTTGTAGGGTTAAAGATAGGACACCACAGGTCCATGCACTTTAGACAGAACCGACAGCCATGAAAAAACTTCTCGCTGAGTTTTCAGATCTGTTCCAGGAACCCAAGGGCTTCCCCCCTCCCCGAGCTTGCGACCATCGTATTCCTTTGGTTGCGGGTTCAGCACCAGTCGTTGTCCGGCCTTATCGCTACCCTCACTTACAGAAGGACGAGATAGAGAAGCAATGTACAGAGATGCCGAACCAAGGAATCATACGCAAAAGTCATCCCCCTTCTCTTTGCCGGTTCTGTTGGTGGCGAAGCAGGATGGAACGTGGAGGTTCTGTGTTGACTATAAAGAACTCAATGACCGGAGGATCAAAGATAAGTTCCCTATTCCCGTTGTGGACGAACTACTGGACGAGTTGCATGGTGTCCAGTATTTCTCTAAGTTGGACCTCAGATGTGGATATTTCCAAGTTCGCATGGCCCCCGGTGACGTGAAGAAGACTGCTTTTCGCACCCACCATGGCCACTTCGAATTTTTAGTCAYGCCRTTCGGACTCTCCAACGCCCCATCTACATTTCAGTCACTAATGAACGAGGTATTCCAGCCCCATCTGCGCAAATTTGTTTTAGTTTTCTTTGATGATATCCTCG